TATGTTTTATTTAGGATTTTTGTACATATGTTTGGGTAGTTCTGTGATCATGTCAAAGCAGCAACTTATATTAAAAAGTGTATTAATGGACCTCCAGTTATGGCGTCTCGGTGAAAAGGTGCATGCGCGTATGGCTTTTAACGTTTACTGGAGACCATGCCACCGAAAAATGCCATACCTGTGCAACAACTGGCTAAAATGGCTCCACAAGAGAATGCGGCTAATGTAGCTCATGCTAACGTAACTTGGATGAGGCACAAGAAGCGCCGGCCAGCCGTGATATTCTCAGAGCAATCAGCTTGCTGAAGGAGGATATGAACAAACAATCTGCTGATATGCTGAAAGCAATTAAGGATATCGAGAGGTCACAGCGCCAAACCTGCAGCTCCAAGGGTTGTTTTAATGAAGTTTCTGAGCTATTGGGACCGGGAAACAACTCTGAAAGCCACCAGGAAATAGAAGGAGGTACACTATAAGAACCACCGCGTCACCTTTTTTCCTGACTTCTCGGCTGAGACTCGTAAGCTGCAGAAGCTCTTTGATGGAGTGAAAATCCGGCTTCATGCCCTTAAAGTCCATTATGGCATTCTGTATCCAGCCCACTTGATCATCACACATAATGACAAACGGCGGATCTTCACGTCTGTGGAAGAAGTCGAGAAATATATCGATGGAATAAGCTCACAGGCTGAGCTCACTGTTTTGAAGCCTGTTCACTTTTAAATTCAAGTACGTTCTTGTAAATGTTACTTTGATATCTAACAAATGAGCAACCATATCCTGTAAAATACATACTTTATAAAAGCAACTAAACCTACAGAAATAATAATATTTGAGGTGTAACAGTTATGGGCTGTGCAGCTAACTGCGGCTACCAGAGCAGCATCAGAAGATGGTTCTTTAAGGAGCCTGAGGTGAGAATGAAGACACGAAGCAATGTTGTAGTTTTGGTGAATATATTAGTGATTTGAATAAAACAGACAATTACAAATGCACAACGAGAGACAAATTAACTCAAAATAAATCAATTCCAAGATCATAAAGTTCTTGTCCTGTTTCCTAGCTCGCCATCGTTAAATCCAAAAGAGGATCTGATCCATCAGGGGGGAAGAACCCGACCTAAGAGGCCAGAAAACACATTAATGTTTTATCAAAAAAACAATTATGTGCAAACACTCAAAGGAATATTAAATTCAAATGCAATTATTAAATTTCTAATAATTAAACTAAACATTTCAGTCAGGTTAAATTAACCATAATTTAAACAAACAAAAATATCAATCATATTTCAAACTAATCAATTTAAAGTTGAAATCAAAGTTCACTTTCAAAATATCAATCAAGAAATAAAATAAATTAACTCAAATACTCAGAGTGAGAAAAAGAAAAAATAAATAAATTAAATAAATATACTGCGCAATCTCAACTTAAATGTAGCTACATCCCATTTTGATCAATTTCATTTAAACTCAATGAACAGAAAAAGTACCAAAACACGCACAAAATCAGCGACCAGGTTACCTTCTGGAAGAGAGTGGGGCTACTAAACCACAATCAGCTGTTACAAACCCGGTGACGGTCCAGGTAACAAAGTGGAGGTGATATAGTTTAAACTGTGCGCTGGTAGAATTTGGGGCAAAACAGGAAGTAGGCCTGCAAAAATAAAAGTCTTGACTAATTGCGGGTTACAGAGGTATATTGCGTCATATTTATAAAATACATATGGAGAAACCAACAAATATAACACATAATGTCCATAATGGTTTAAATCACCTCATAAAGATGAAGACTTTTTTTTTTAACCCTGCAGCCACTGGTTTCATGTTGTTACCACCAGGATGCATCTCAGTGGTGGAGAAGCTGAAAGGCGGGTCTGAACTCTCCTCTGATCTGGTGTTGCATCTTCAGTCATAAAGTGTGTTCACACTGAAAACTGGATCATCATGTGACTAAACCTCATTCAGAGCTGAATCTGTATCAGCAGCCGATGCACAGTAAGGAGGGAAACCTTAAATGTTATGACAACATTTTGTAGCACAATGTGAAACAATAAAAATGATTTAAAACTATTAATTTTTCTGCATGACAACATCCACGGTGCCACAAACATAAAAGCTGCTTTTTAAAACCTTCAGTTTGAAATGAGATTCTTCAGGTTAAAGAAATGAGATTTACATTAAAGTCCATCTCACCAGATTCCTGAATTTATTATGTTTGATGCTGTTGAGGAGAAAAGAATAAAATTAACATTTGCTGGTTTTTAGCATTAACTGATATTTATTGTAATAAATCAAAATTCTTATAAAAAGACATTTTCATGATAAATTACACAATAAAGCCTTTGAATAAATCACACAGAGATGCAGATTCTCTCTGTCACTTTATTGGTTTCATATTGAACATAAAAATGTTCTTAACACCTGATTCCTCTGAAGCTGGAACATTCAGAGGCTTGGGGTCTCCCAGCCAGGTGAGCAGGGGTTGGATGGAGGTCAGGCTGTTGGAGGCTGAGCAGCAGGTGTTCATGTTGGTGACCAGAACGTTCCAGAACCTCCAGCTGGTTCTGGAACGTTCTGGTCACCAACATGAAGATCCGCTTCACAGTGGATCCTGCAGGTCAGGACCGTCTGGCCTCGTTTCCCCTGATCCTCATCGGTCAGCCCTGATGTCCACTGGCTTCGCCTCACTTCCTGCTCCACAGGCGAACTGCAGCCATTCCTTCCCAGTTTCCTCTGCTTCCATCCCGACTCGGTTCTGCTGCACAGCAGAGGTTCTGCTGGATCCATGTGGGAAATGATTAAAAAGGTGATACCAGCGATGAAAGGATGAGCATCAAATCAAACTAATATTTTCCTCCATTGCTTCTCCTGCCTTTCCTGCTGAGTTGAGGGAAACTGGAGCTTCCAGAATTAAATCCACATCTTTTCTATGACACAACATGTTTAAATATAACCATATTTTCATTAAATAGATAATATTTCTAACAAATATAGTCTTGTTTCATTTAGAAAGTATAGATGCTGTTGCCTGATGTTTGTCAGATTGACTCGGTTCTGGACCCAGTATTGGCCAGAGGACGACTCTGTGGCCCTGAGGCTCAGCGGCGCCACCATGAGGTCGCAGTGAAAACGCTCTAATTGATTATAATGATTATTATGACTGTGGAACCAGAACTGAGGCTCAGTCGGATTCAGTGCCTTTTATTGATCATCAGCTCTTTGTTAATCATTGACACTATAATGGAAACATCCCATAATATCAGCTCCAACCAGCAGATTTAGACCAGAACCAGGAGAGTTTTGAAGGTTCTGGTCCATAAAGATCAAGTTGATCCAGATCATGTTCTGGTTACCAGGGCAACCAGCTCCACCAATCAGATCTCTTCTAGTCAAACTGAACCAACCAGGTTTCCTGTCTGTTAAATCAGATTTAATAGAAAAATAAAATGATTATTAAAATATTCTGATATTAAAACTCCTCCATCTTCATTTGTCTCCACAGAACCGTTTCCAGTCTGGGCCAAAGTTCTACTGGTTCTACTGGTTCTGGCTCTGGTTCTGGTTGCTGCTGCAGGAGTTTCATTTTATTTCTGGCTCCGCTGGAAACCAGGTAAGTCTCTTAGCTGCATTACCCATAATGCCTTTGGTCAGGGTCTGCTCTCCTCCAGAGTAGGACTGAAGCAGCTGAGGCAATGTGGGTCTCAGCAGGACCTGTCCTCAAACTTGAGGACAAGCTTGTCCTCAAACTTGAGGACAAGTTTGTCCTCAAGCTGTCTCTCTGTCAGCTTGAGGACAAACAGAACCTAAAGAGTCGGTGAGGATGGAGCAGAGCTTGGTGGGTTGCTGCCAGGCAGCAGCTGGTTCCACTTCTTCACCAGATCAGGGGACAAGGACACATGTCTCTGTCCTCAGAGAGTGTTGTGGTCAAGACCACCTAACCCAAGTCCAAGACAAGACCAAGACCAGAGTGTATTGAGACCGAGACAAGACCAAGACTTTTAGGGTCCGAGACCAAGTGAAAACCAAGACCGAGGGAAGTCGAGACCGAGACCAGCGGCCCACGACACAATAAAATGTGAAATATGATCAAAATTACTTTTCAAATTGATCTGAAAGATCCATATTCACATAAAATCACCTAGATATTAAATACTTAATATCTAAAAGCAGAACAAACTCTTGGTTCTGCTATGCTTCCATATATGTGCTATGATCCGCGGTGGTCTCGTGCCATCTCTAAAAAGATAACACCCTGGGTGTTTGTCCATGTTGCTCTGTTCTGTCAGGTCAGCATACACTTAGCACAAACTCACAGCTATATCTGTCAGACACGTCATTACCATATAATTTTATTTAACCAGCAACATAGAATCATGACATAGATCATCATACACTTAACAGTTGTATGGCATCCTGATTTAGCGGTTAAGTGAGTTTTACACGGGCGTGTGTTGTAGCTGACTGCAGCTGCAGCCAGACCTGCTTTAAATACACTTTGAAACCATGACAATACATGTATATCTATATAGTTATCATGGAAAACAATTTTCGGACTTATTTTAGTCATAACTTGCTGCGTATGGTGAACTGACAACTCCTCTGACGGTCGGACTTCTTAAAGCGCAGGCATGGTACTCACTGCA